GAAATGAAATAAATTAATTCCATTCTAGACCTCCTGCTGACTCTGCCGTCACAGACAAGACGGGATTCCTCTCAAACAGGCCTCCGAAGGCTCGCTGTATAGTAACATGGTTTGCCTGCAGTTAGCACGGGAACAATCACTTGACCTCGGTAGGTTGCCCACAAGCAAATACAAATGCTCCATGTGTGTTTACAGAGGTGAGGCATACAGTAAAGGAAGCTGTGTTGAAGCTTCCCTGTACTCACATGCGAGGGTAGCGTGCATCGCCACCTGCACTGAGCTGTACTCCAACTCCTGTTAGGCTGCCTCCTCCCCCGCAACCCCAGGCCATGAGCTGAATGCCCAGTATGGCTGGAGGCAGGGAAAGGGAGGTTAGCTGAGAGAACTATTCACTCAAGTCTGTGGCTTCATTGCAGCTCGCTTTACTCTGTTGACATGGCTGGAGCAATCTCACTACACCTGGTAGCAGCGCATGGTTTACCGCTGCCGGTGCGAGCAGCGCATCCCACCCTTGCAGACTGGCCTCATGCATAGACGAGAAAATACAGAAAACAGCTATTTTTCGTTCCCTTAGAGTCCCTCTCAATTTCCCGCGTTGCCGTCCTGCCCAATGGATATTGATTATGATCAANTTCGTTCCCTTAGAGTCCCTCTCAATTTCCCGCGTTGCCGTCCTGCCCAATGGATATTGATTATGATCAACCGGCACTTGTGAGGGCAACTCACGGCCTGGAGCCTCGCCTAGCAGAAGCAAGCTCGATATCTGCACCCAATTTGTGGTAAAGTGCAGTTTCACCATAACCATCTCAAGAGGAATGCCTGACTGTGCCGATCGCAATGTGATGGGCGCCAGGACGAAGAGACAGCTGATGAGTGTCTTGGTTTCTTCGAGATCTATCCTTTCCTACAAAGTGCACCCGAAGAACTCCAGTTACTATTGGGTTTCTTCTTATTGGAAGGGGATGTACGATGGTTGTGGTTGCACTTTTGCAGAGACTCTGTTTCCCCGAGCGCATGCGCTGCACTTTTACCCCGACGTTTGCAAGGGAGCTCGTTATGGTGGAATTAAGGAAATATAAGCGTAACGGCACAATGTATGCCCGTCCATTCGTCTGCGCAATCCCGGAGGCCATAGCCTCAACGAATGGACGAGCAGGTTGCATCTCCTGGCTGTGGCTCATCCCGTATCGAGTAGGGCAAGTATCTCCTTCCCTTCCACTCGAAATTGTACAACCACAGAATTAACTCAAGGTGGATCTGCGGGTGCGCCCGTCATCTCTTTCGGCCCCATCACTACTCCGCACTTTGCGCGGAGCCCCGGGCGTTGCCCTTATCGTTTTTTTTGTTGCACTGCCGCCGCTGGTGGGGGATTAGCTCCACTTGTTCCATAGCCTTTTTCATAAGTCTGCAATCTAAAAATGAATGACCTTGTCTAGTGCAAAAGAAACAAACACGCCGTTCGATACGTCATTGCGGTGTCCTGGTGATCGAAATCGCAATCTGCTGCAAGTTTCCGCTTCTATTCCTGCTCAGGGCGGTTCTAGCTTATACAGTCCCAATATCAGTAGGTTTTAGATTGGGGCTTCCCCCATGCGCGCCCCCTTCCTTCCAAGCTAGGGTGGCATTGTTAACATCCGTTCTTTCTGCTATACAAAGGTATTCCATCACCGCAGCGAGCTCAGCCCCTTCACCGCTTAGATCCCTCTCCGTGGACCGGCCCGTTACAAGTGTCATCACGAGGGAGGGAAGCCCTGCGATAAACCATTGATGCACAAGCTCTGTCTCTGCAGGCAAACATCTGTACTGCTCAATGTACCGTTCTAACGTCGCCTGCCCTTGCTTAAGTCTCTGCAGATCTGCCATAACCTGTGCCCTTTCGGACCTCGGAACAAACCTGCTGCACAGAGCATCCTGGAAGGCATGCACGGGTTTGATGCGCTCTGCGAAAGCGGACCCGTTGCTTATCCGTGGCCACTATCGTCGGACATTCCCTCCTAACAGATGAATGAGCGGTTGTACTTCCTCCGATCCATTTTGAAGACAGAGGTACTGGTTGGAGGAACCAAAATACTCCTCCACCGTTTCGCGTCCAGGCGCCCATCATATCGCGATGGCCGGAACACTCGGAGGGATTCCTACTGAGTTGTTTTTGATGAAAGTGCAGTTTCTCCGTGCTTGGGTGCCGAAATCGTGCTTGCTTCTACTCTGCGAAGCTCCATACCGTGCGTCACTCCCCCACATGTGGGCAAATCATGAGCAATGTCCCTGAAAGGGTGGGGTTCGTTGCTCGCGCCTGCCCGGTCGAGCTATGCAGTGCTACCAAGTGTAACGCGTGCATTCTTGCCTTATTCTAGGATAATGCCCAGCTGCATTGAAGCCAAAGGCTTGAGGACAGAGTTTCCCCACAAGCAACTCGGCTGGCTCCCGTGTCTCCAGCCACCCTAGGCGTTCAGCTAATGCCCTGGGGTTGCGGGGGAGGAAGCATCCTAACACGAGTTGCAGGGCGCTTCGCTGCAGCTGGCTATGCAGTC